TAAAATTCCTAATAAAGTTTCCTATTTCACTTGGCTTTTGGCTAAACAAGTTGTGTTAAATCAAGAAAGTCTCATGAAAAGGGGGATCCATCTAAGTTCTACATGTTTTTTTTTGTGAAGAAAAGGCTGAGACAGTAACTCATCTATTTATACACTGCAGGATAACCTTTCAACTATGGGAAATTTTCCTAAGTATGAAGGGTCTGAGTTGGGTGATGCCAAGGAAAATAGATCAGACCTTGAAGATCTAAAGCAGTTATGTTAACATTTCAGACCATAAGGATAGGTGGAAAATTATACCAGCTTGCATCTGGTGGGCTGCTTGGACAGAAAGAAACCTCAGGTGCCACCAGTACAAGAGCAACAACATCCAGAAGATGAAGATGAAGTGTTTAGTTTTGTTCCATTTTTGGGGTAAACGGGAGTATATGAAAGATCTAGAATCAACTATGGATATCTTAAGATCTTTGTAATTTTTGTTAACAGGGTTGAAGATCTTCTGGATACTCCACCTCAATTGTAATTAGAGACCTGTAACTTGTTGTGGCAGGTTTCTGATTTTTTTGAAATAGAATACAAGTTGTTACCTTCTCAAAAAAAAATTAAGATAGTTGTAAGGAAAATTGACTCCGTGGGAAGCTATCCTTCTATCGTGCATGCTATAGTGAAGACTTAGTAAGGAAGAGTAATTTTTCCTTCTTAATGATATTTTCAGATAAATGAACGCCAGAAAATGACTCTCATTAGATACAATTTCCCCCGAAAAAAGACTGGCATATCAAACACATTAGTTTTGATTATAATACCCTTTCAATAGAGAGAATTTCACTTGAGGATATGTTTTGCAGGTGGGACAAGAACATTAAACTTGTTAAAAAGATGACCTTTGTGAGGTAAAGATTGGTGGTGGGCTTTTTCTGGGCTGTTGGTTTCACTACTAATCCTCGGTTCGGATACTGCAGAAAGCTTTCAACAAAGCTTTATGTTCGTCTCACAACAATTGACGACATCTATGATTTTTATGGTACTTGGATGAACTTGAGCCCTTTACTGATATTGTTGACAGGCTTGTCCACATGCTTTACATCTTTTTCATAATATCATGTCACCTAAAAGATAACTCTAACTGGAAACTAAGATAGCAACCATTGTAGATTACAATAAGAAATTTTGGCCAAAACGTAGATGTTAATGGTTGCTATTGGATAATCTACAAATTTAAGAACATTAGCAGCACAGAAGAAGCAATGTATTGCTTAACCAAAACAGTGGAAAAACTAGTTTTAATCAACAACAATTTGCCTAAACACGGTACATATTTGATGCAACCACTATCCCCATAACTCAGTTTAACTATCCGTTTTATTCCCATGCCAAGTCCGAACTTCTCATCAACAGTTACACGATTCTAGAACCTAACAAGAATCTCAGCCACAACATAGGTTATCATATACTCATGAAACTTTCAATTTAAGGTTCACCACCCATATCACATAGTTCTCACAAAATTTCACAAAACCCATCAGAACATTAGTTGAACAGTACATATACACAAACCCCAAATTCCCAAAATTGAAAGATTAGCAACAACTGCAAAAATAAAGGGGTAAATTGGAATTACCTCGCCAACGACGTCTTCTTTGCGGGAATTGAATTTGGTACCCTTATAGATGTAATTACCGCAAGTAGCACAACGAATACTCATTGGAAGCATCATACGCACTTTCATCTGCTGATTCTTTGGCTGTCTTCGCCTAGGAATCTTTGCCGGATCGAAATCCGGCGGATAATACTTGTTTAAAACCTTCCTTTCTCCCATGGCTGCTGCTTCTTCTTCTTCTTCTTCTTCACAGTCCAATAATGGAAACCCAAATTAGTTGAATCGAATGAAGATTTGCGAGTAAGCAACCCTCTGTACCAGAGACAGGCAAAGGGTTTGCTGAGCAGATGTTTTCTCTTACGAAACTCGGGTTTTGGTATATTGAAAGGTATTTGTAGTCTCACGGAATAATGGCGAGATTTAACATAGAGTATAATGATCTATTTTTCATAAGTTATACTTGTGAGCAAATTTGATCTTTTTTGTTATTTCTAGGGTATTTATTTTTCCTTTTGGCCACCACATTGATCACATAATTAATTTTGTAGGTTATTTACAATTTATTTTTAAGATTATAAGTAATTTTTTTAAAAAAATAATTTATTTTTTCATATAACAATATGAAAATGTTATTTTTTAAATTATTTTTGTATCTTTTTTTTTTAGTGTATGAGGAAGTAGACTAAACAAAAATCTTACAATATTACCAACATGGATTGTGATGCAGCAGTGGGACTACTACATTCATAATTAGAGGTCTTGGTTTCGAGCCTGGTATGAAAAAAATCATGTTGCGAGCGCCACCCCCAAATGGACCCTGCAAAGCACGATTCGAATTTAGTCGGAGCTCCAATGTGGGCTCCGAACACCGGGTTGGAAAAAAAATCTTACAATATTCATAAGTAGAGAAAATGACATAAATGGTCCCTCAACTATAAGAGTAGGTCTAAAATGGTCCCGTAACTATACACTTAATGGATTTAATCATTTAACTATTTAAAAACTTATCAACTTTGGTCTCTTAACTATACACTTACCGTTTTTAGTCCCTTAACTATAAACTTACCGATTTTAATCCTTTAAGTATTTAAAAACTTATCAAGTTTGGTCTTTATCCATTTTTTAATACAAATAGTTTAGGTTTATATTAATGAAAACCTTCGTGAAATAAAATCTTTAACCTATTTTTAAGGAGATAATATCTCAAATGGTCATTCAACTTTGAATTATTTTCTCAGAAAGTTTAACTTTAGTTTTTAACTTAAAAGTCACCCAACTATGGGTCTTTTTCTCAGAAAGTCACCCAACTTTGGTTTTTAACTCAAAAGTCACTCAACTATGAATGTTTCACTTATAAAGTCACTCAACTATGAGTGTTTCACTTATAAAGTCACTCAACTATGAATGTTTTACTTACAAAGTCACCCAATCTATTTAATTAATTTTTTTCATTAAAATTTACAAACATGAAAATTTTATTTCTTACTAAAATTTTAAAAAATAAAAAGACATTCATTTAAACCATTTAATAACCCGATCCGCTAAAAATATAATATATTACCTTTTATTTTACCCCTTTTCTCCATTGTGTGTGAATATAGCGATCTCCATGCATTGTTCATAAAATGTAGAAGTTACAAAATTACTTTTTTAGTAAATTCAAAATTTTAAAATATTAGGATAGAAAGATGCATAACTTCTAACAATGATACATAATGAAGGAACAAAAAGATGTGATAAAAAAAAAAAGGAAACTGACTTGAATTTATTACTAATGTTTCTCCTACCGTTAAGTTAATTAAAATTTGGTCTTTACATTTATTTTATTTTTGGTAAAATGGTGTTTACATGTTGATTTTAGAGTGCTAGAGTTAAAATAATTAAATGGTTTAAATGAATATCCTCTTTTTAAAATAAAATAAATTCATGTAAGTAAATTCAGTTGAAAACAATAATTAATTCATTAAAATAATATATTTTCAACCAATCGGGTTATTAAATGGTCTAAATAAATATCTTTTTATTTTTTATAATTTTAGTTAGAAAGAAAAATTTCTTGTGTGTAAGTTTTAATTTAATAAAAAAAAATCAATTAAATAGATTAAGTGATTTTGTAACTGAAACACTCATAGTTGAATGACTTTGTAAGTAAAACACTCATAGTTAAGTGACTTTTGAGTTAAAAATCAAAATTGAATGACTTTCTGAGAAAATAACTCATAGTTGAGTGACTTTATGAGAAAAGAACTCATAGTTGAGTGACTTTTGAGTTAAAAACCAAAGTTGAGTGACTTTCTAAGAAAAGAGTGCATAGTTGAGTGACCATATGAGATATTAACTCATTTTTTAAGTTGTTTCTCTATCCCAACCCTTTTTTCTTCACACTACTCTTATGAAAAGAACAATAACGTCAACGATTCAAAATAAAATTAATGAGGAAAGAAGATATAAGTTTCAATTTTATTCAATGAAGGATAAAATTAAGCATATAATTGTTGTTAATGACTTAAATCCGCACTTGAATATGCTAATCAATGCGGATTTTATTTAAGCTACTCAATTTTTTTTACGTAAAATAAAATGAATAGAATAATAAAATTGATCTATTTAAAAAAAAAAAGTTGCAAATCTACCATTTTATAAGTTTAAATTTCTGAAAAGTTAAACAAATTCCATTCAATGAAGTCGTTGGAGTACAAACTTTGGATTTAACGGGTAATAATTTTTTTTTCTTTTTATAATAAAGTTTAGCATATTCAAATCCTTAGTAGCAATAATATTCTTCATTTTATCCTCTGTTGAATAAAATTATGACTTATATTTTCTTTTCTCGTGAATTTTATTTTAAATCGTTGAGGTTAAGGTTCTTCGCATAAGGTTAATTTGAAGAAAAAGTAGCGGAGAGAGATAAACAACAGAAAAAATTGCTAAAGGATTTAATTTCTCGAGGCTTGGATTCCATTTATATAAACCTAAGCTACTTGTATTAAAAAAATATGGACAAAGACCAAACGTGATAAGTTTTTGAATACTTAAAGGACTAAATTCGATATGTATTATTCAAATAAAGAATTTTGAAAACTAATCTTATTGTCAAAAATTTGCTTTAAATTAACGGGAGATTTGATTTTATTGTGTTTTTATAAATTTATGTTTTTATTCCATGAGATTTTCACTTTTAGAATATCGATTTCAGTTATTGATATATAGTTAGCCTCAACCAACTGAAAAATAGGACAACTTTGTCTTTTTAAGATCTGAACATTCTAATACATGTCTGCAAAACCATTTTTAACATGTCCAGGATGTGCTCTTGTAATTGCAGCAATTAGTGTACATGCAGAGAAATGTTTTCCAGACAATCAAATAAACCAACCAGAAAACAAGAGAAGAACCAGACAAAAAAGGGATACAAGTGAGAAAATATATCATGTTCAATCTACCACAAATCCATCTTCTTGACGTTGTTCTTGTAAGCATAACTTGAGTTGCAATAACGAGTAACTAACTATAGGAAAGAACAAAAAAAAAACAGTTACAATTAAAGAAGAAAAAACTCAGTAAATGGTAAATAATGATGAGCCTCGAGAAGTAATTATACTTTGCTCATTCACTTGAACATATTAGGAAGTGGTCTGACAGCCATGAAAGCATCTACCATCTGTAGAAAAGAGCATGCAACAAGTAAATAAATTAATCATATATTGGAAACAGAAAAGAAAAGGAAAAAACTATTAAACGAGACGAGCATAGAAAGGAGACAAGACATCCAGTAATTTGGACAAGCAAAAAAGGCACTAAAGAACACTTTGATAAAGCAGAAGCCTCTGATTCCCTCCCTCTTAATTCCCTGAGAGTGCCTCGAAAAAGAGGAAATAATTCCTGATGGAATGTCATGCTCATAAGAGGAGACCTTCACACCCTCGGCATATCTTTTTTTATGCTAGGGCAGCTTGCACGAAGCACACCCTTAATATATTTAGTGAAATATACTAGGAAGAATAATTGAAAACACAAGTAGATAAAGAAAATGGAGACTTGGTGCTAATTTCAATCGCCTTGTGTTCACTTAAGCTAGAAGACCAATCTTGAATACCTTGGTCACTAAACAGAAAATCATCTCATTTGAAATTCAGATATAGTAGGGACAAGTTGAATTGATAATCCAAAGCAAAACAACAATGGAGAATGAGTAATTTCAAATTCAGAAAGTCTAGTTAATTTTAGGTTTCACCGAAAATTACTGTTAGTTACCTCATCAGTCACTGCAGCCCTAGCCCGTCGATGTCTTTCAACTAGATCTGTTAGAACTTCAACTAGCCTCTTTTTAATTTCACCTGTCAGCATACGGCCCGAACCATACTCCTGAAAGTTGAGCATATGAGTATTATTGGTAATATAATCAGCCGGTAGTCCGTGCATGGACTGAATTGAATGCTAAAAGCCGGAGTTCTACAAATGCAAATTTGAGATAGCAAAGAAACACTAAGGGAAAGCATGAATACTAACCTCTCTAATGTGTTCCAGCTCTGCATCATCGTCCAGGAAAAAGCCAAGATATTTAAATGGTATATCAACCTGCACAATATCCAAGACAAGAGGTTTAGTTTGCTGACTTTTTTTCCATGGCTAAGATGGTACAAAGTTAACTATATTGATCCAACAGAGATGAAAACAGGCGGAGATAAATTGCATTTACAAGCTGCTATATTCAAGTGTGTACAGTCATTTAATAGAAATGCATACCATCCTACGAATTAGCTATTGGATTCATATAAATTTGGTTACCTCCAGGTTTGCTCCGTACTTCCTGTGCAACTCAATTGAGTCTCGTCCACCTGAGAATGCATATCTGTTTATCTGCACATAGTTACAATTTAAAGGGTCATTATTATGCTTATCGAAATAATTTGTTTAGCATAGAGTAATCAATCTGGATAATGCCCATTTTGGAAACCAACATTAAGAACTTCTTTTTGAAATGATAAGTATTCATTGATTAAAAAAATTAAGAACTAAAATGGCGCTAAACAAATCAACTTCTCACATATTCAAATTGCCTCAGTTTCCAGTTTACCTAGGTAAGAACTCCTGTAATCAAACACTAGCGCACATGATGCACATCTGGAAGCTAGAACAAGTCAAGTGAATCCTTCAAGTTATGAGGATTCAAGCTAAGAAATTACATCGGTTTTACCTCAAAGGATCTCGTATCATCACCTTGAAGACTATGGAGGAAGCAAACAAGGAAATCCAAGCCCAATTAATCTTCTTAAATCAAAGGAATCTTGTGACAAGAACTCTTGTTTAACTCATTTTCGGTAGAGGCAAACTATTAAGTGAATTTGTACATTTGGGTCTTGGGTTATCATAACTATAAATACTCATTTAATTAGTGTCCTTTTTTTAGAATGAATTTGAATGAAGCTTGTGAAAGCTTAAGAGTATTTTATTTCTTATTAGCATCTTTTGTCACTTTAGTTACGATAAGATATTTTTAGCATTAATTCCTCTGCTAACTTAGTATGTTAGTTTGTTTCCTTTAGGTGTTTTATTGTAATGTGGTCAGAATTTTACTATTCTAGTTTTTTTTTTTTGTTTCATTTGATAGTTTTTTCTACATAAGTTGGTTGTTTTTCTATGGTTTCTCCATTTCTTTAATCTTTCAGCTTCTGAATCTGTCTCAACATAGTAACCCGCCCCTCCTCCCACCCCACTCTCCACGAACAAAAACATTAAAAAGAACAAATTGAAGCTTTGGTATTCTTAGAGAAATAAGTATGACACAGAAAAGTAATTGAAGAAAAATCTATCACCAGTATTGAACGAGAATCGGGATACGTTTCATTTCAAGAGTGCCTGTCACAAATATCATTGTTTACCGACTCATAAAGAAAAATATCTTAAGTTTTATTAAATTTAGTCAAGAAAAGGCTCACAACTGGAGTCTGGAGATAAAGACAACTTATTTGAAAATCTTTATGTATTCGAAATTCCATCCTCCAATATTGAATGTCATACTTTGTCTTGTACAACAATCACTTTATTAATTAACTTGCTCAGTTCAGCATGCTTTATTTCTAATAATTTTCTTTATGAAAGTGGTGTCCGTGGCAACTTGTGCACATCACAACTATTCCACCGGATACATGCCACCTCCCACCAATACATATACCGGGTAACTCTATCCATGAAGATTAGACATATGGAAGAAATCACCTAGCGTTTCCTTTATCTCTACTGAGATCTGAATCCTGATCTCAATTGTTTGCAGCCACTTCATGACCATTAGGCCACATCCTTGGGTGCATTCTTTCTAATGAATTTTATAGAATGACTATCTATAGTAATCCTCCCTCCTCCTCCAAGAAGGAAAGGACAACACAGGAAAAGGAGATCAATAATAACAGAATTATGCACAAAATGGATGTCCTTCAATGGATACAAGAGTTGACATATGATGTGCATCAAATGTGTAAAAATATATTTTTTGAGAAGGATTTATTTTGTTTGAGAAGGTGTGCAATTATATATTTAATGCCCAACCTTGTTTTTTATATCTTTTGCTGAATCGGTCACATAAATGGCAGAATTTGGATCACTAGCAGACATTTTTCCATTCTCCCCCTGCAAATGTTCAACAACAGAAAAGTAAAATATCAACAGAAGAAACGTATGACAATTTTTACAAGCAGACACCTTAAACAACATAAGCTGAAACATGTGTGCACAAATTAATTTGACAAATAAAAAGGATGAGAACCAGTTCTATTTCTACTTATTTGGAATCAGACAGATACCAGCATGGAGGTGGGCACATCAGACAAAGGACAAAGATGAAATGATATAACCATTATACAGTTAGTGATATCTTTCATATAAGTTGCAACTCAAGAATCATTTGCAATTGCACAAATAAAGAACCAAATTCAACAGTGAAGAGCATGTACGTGGTAAAAATGGAGGAAAGGTGAAAAAAGAAAAGAACATAGAATCTTTCTGACATTTTCAAATGCGAAAAATGATTTTGTGGCACGCATTCCATCTACCCCAGTAGAAGACAACATTCATACGGAGGCTATTTGCAATATGGACAGAAAGGATTCTACCATACAACATCCAACTAGGACTAATCCTTTATGAAAAAGTTACTGAAGATATGAGGCTTTGATCAACATCTCATAAAGGAAATTGTCTGTTGTGTTTCTTTCATGAAGAAAGGAGGACTGTCATTCACTTGCTTTATGGATTTTTCATTAAACAGATTCTAAATAAGATTAATATCTGTTGAGAAGTTGATGCTATAGTAAATGGCAAGTGTTCTTAACTAAACTATGCATATCTTATGATGCAAGCAACTAGGTCTCGTTGTCGCGAAATGCTACTCTAGCATGAAGAACCACAACTCAGGTTCTAGGTACAGGGAGAATTACAAGGGGAGATAAAGCTATCAAAAATGCTGCATTACTCATCCTATACAAAAATTAAACAAATAAATAAATTTGATTTAAGTTTAACTATGTTTTACAGGTCTATGACCAAAAGATGCATTTACTGGTTTATGAGCTGTAAAGAAGCATATGCTGTGAACTGCAATTTTTTGTCATTCAGAAAGTATTGTAAATAATTGATGAATGTCCATTGTACCCCGATTATGCCTATAAAAGGCATTGTAACTTATATGGAAAAACACACAAAAATAAGAAAGACAAAAGTTCCCTATTTTATTTCTCTACTGCATTCTTTCTTCTTGGTTGTTATTAGTTTAATTTTAGTATGCAGCCTTTATTTTTATAACATGTTATCAGCACGAGACTCTTTCATCTCAAAGTTTGAAGACTAAATTTGAAGGCTAAGGTATTATTATTTTTCTTATCTTTATTATGGCTAATCTTACTAAACTTGAGTTTGTTGCCCTTCATAGTTCGGGCAAGATCTACCTTTCTTGGGTACTGGATGCTGAAACATTTGGATGCAATGGGTTTGGAGACACCACTAAAATTGAAAATAAAAGCATCAAAACAAGATTGTGCTAAAGCACTGATATTCTTGCGTCATCAATAAAATTTTCAAAATTGAATATCTCACAATCAAGAATCCACTCGTTCTGTGGAATAACCTGAAAGAAAGATGTGACCATCATCCAAAGGCACAATATGATTGGATGCATTCAAGGTTACAAGACTTTAAGTCTATTCATGAGTATAATTTTGTCATGTTCAAAATTACTTCTCAATTGAAACTAGGTGGAGATACGGTTAGTGATGTTGATATAATGGAAAAAACATTTTCCACCTTTTATGCCTCGAATGTGCTTCTACAGCAACACTACCGAGAAAAAGGTTTCAAGAAGTATACTGAACTTTCATCTTCTCGTGGATGAACAAAATAATGATTTGTTAATGAAAAATCACGAGAATTATCCTACTGGATCTACACCATTTCCTGAAGTGAATGAGGTGTACGCCCACCACGCTAGGCGTGGAATAGGTCGTGGACGTAATTATGGCCAAGAGCGAAATCCTTTTCCTGGTGTTAATCATTCACCAAGAAAAATCACTATCAAAAGGGAAAATCTAAATATGAGAATTGTGAAGCAGTTAAAACAAACAGTTTTCAATGTGGTAGAGGTCATTATGCACGTGATTGTTGTACTCCTAAACACTTCGTTGAGCTTTACCAAGCATCACTAAGAAAGAAGGATAAAAATCTTGAAGCTAATATTATCGCTGAAAATCTTGTTGGCATCACATACTTGGATGTAGCAGATTTCTTAACGCCTTGAAGGAAAAATAAATCATTTGATTGGTGACGGTTCTGTGGATATGGAAGAATAATCATGGTTAATATGTTATTAATATTTGTTGTTTTTGTACTAGTCATAATGTGGGAAGTAAATAATTAAAGTACTTATATTTATCCACGTATATTCATTGAGTCCCCTTTTAAAAGGTCTATGGAAATATGAGTTGAAATTTTATAATAGTTTGATGATGAATTGGAACATATTAAAATAACGTTTTCTTCTTATCCTTTTGTGAGTATAAAAGAAAATTTATAAAGTTATCTTTAAAATGAATAAGTAGATGCATTATCTAAATAAAGTAAGTGGAAACAATAGATTTTTCATTTGTCACTCAAATGTCTTTTCAGGAAATTAGATCATTATATTAGTACTCATTTTAGATGAGCTAAACTAGACTAAAATTTATTGTTAAAAGTTTGGGTGATAAAGATCTTATGTTGTTATCTATTATATTAAATCATTAATTATCTTCTATTAAATAATTCATAAAATATAATTTGAATTTTCTATTCGTCTCATCATTATAGATTGAGGATATCCCAGTCTCCCAGACGATCATGCCAAAGTATGAAGGTATTGGAATTAGTAAACTTCTGATTTACTATAGAATGTGCCTCAATTGCACTATTTTTTTGTCCAATACAATCCATAACTTATGCATTATTAGTATATGATTATAATAATGATTCAAATGTCATTTTAACACTTTTATTATCTCTTATATTAAATCATTAATTATCTTCTATTAAATAATTCATAAAATATAAGAGATAACGGAAGTGTTAAAATGACATTTGAATATACTAATAATGCATAAGATCTTTTATCACCCTAACTTTTAACAGTAAACTTTAGTCTAGTTTAGCTTGTCTAAAATGAGTACTAATATAATGATCTAATTTCTTGAAAAGACATTTGAGTGACAAAAGAAAAAGCTATTGTCTCCACTTACTTTATTTAGATAATGCATTTACTTTATTCATTTTAAAGAGGGAAAAGGGTCAAAAATGCAAATGATCAAAAATGCCCCTTTGTTTATACTTTGGTCCATTTATGCATAGCCAGTGAAATGGGCCAAAAATGCCCTTGAATAAAACGGAAGCAAACGGAAAAACTTAAACATTAATTAGTGTTAATTTGTTTGCTTCGTCTTTTCATCTGAAGAGAACCCATTTTTCTCCCAGATTTTGTTTCCTTCTCCTTCAAAACCCTAGCCTCCTCTTCTAAATTTCTCATATATGCTCACAAGTGGGTGTAGAACTTTCTTTTATTTTCGGTAATTTCGACATTATTAAAGATGAGATAAGATGAATAGTAGCCACCATAGCCACTAGATTCCAACTCTTAAATGATAAAATCACCTTTAAAATCATATTTTTTTGTTTTTTATATTTAAACAAACTCTCTTTTACACTCTAAAATGGAGAATTATCTAATATTTACATCATCACCTTCCCATGAATTTTCATCAATGAATAACAATACTACTCTTTGTTTGAATGCTGGAAACAAGTATTATTATTGCTGATTAGTTGCCACAAAGTGGTGGTAGTCAAATTTTGGTAATACATATTGGAGAGCAGTGAATTCTTTCATTATATTTATGTTAGCTTTTAAGAATACAAATTGCACTTCAAGTTCTTCAAAAATGTCCTTGAATCTGCTAAAATGTTTTTGGACTAAGCATTATATGCGAATGGGTGCATAAATGCCATCCGAATTGGTGTTTAAGTTTTTCCGTTTGGTTTCGTTTCATTTAAGGGCATTTTTGTCCCATTTCACCGACTATAAGGGCATAAATGGACCAAAGTATAAACGAAGGGGATTTTTGATCATTTCACATAGTACAAGGGCATTTTTTACCCTTTTCCCTTTTAAAGATAATTGTATAAATTCTCTTTTATACTCACAAAAGGATAAGAAGAAAACTATTTTAATATGCTCCAATTCATCTTCAAATCATTATAAAATTTCAACTCATATTTCCATAGATGTTTTAAAAGGGGGCTCAATGAATATACGTGGATAAATATAAGTAATTTAATTATTTCCTTCCCACATTATGACCAGTACAAAAACAACAAATATTAATAACATTATTATTAGCAATATTAACCATGATTATTCTTCCATATCCACAAAACTATCACCAATCAAGTGATCTATTTTTCCTTCAGGGTGTGAAGAAATCTGCTATATTCAAGTGTGTGATGTCAATATGATTTTTCAGAGATAAAATTAGCTTTCAGGATTTTTATCCTTCTTTCTTAGTGATGCTTGGTAAAGCTCAACCAAGTGTTTAGGAGTACGACAATCACGTGCATAATGACCTCCCTTCCACCACATTGAAAATAGTTTGTTTTAAGTGCTTCACGTTTCATATCTTTCCTTTTTCCTTTTTAAGAGTGATTTTTCTTTGGTGAATGATTAACACCAGGAAAAGGACTTCGTTCTTGGCCATAATTACGACCACGTCCACGTCCACGATGTATCCAACAAACTAAACATTTAGATACATGAGTGTCATACAAGTACATTCATATGTATCATAAAAGTATCTAGCATTAATTTCATTATATATATATATATATATTAATTTCATGTATCTTTTATATGTATCTAGTATGAATTTGATGTATCAAGTATCAATTGCACATGTTATATCCAAAAACATGTATCTCGAATACATAGTAAACATATACATCTAATTATGTGTATCTAAATATGGAATATACAAAAAGAAGAAGCATATACATCTAATTATGTGTATCTAAATTTCATACGTTATATCCAAAAACATGTATCTCGAATACATAATAAGCATATACATTTAATTATGTGTATCTAAATATGAAATGTAGTTGAAACACATGAATCTATGAACAAATCACGACTGTAGAGTATCTGTCGTATCATTAATATCATTGTGTTGTTAAAAATCATGTATCCGAAATTTAATATATAGTGGATACATATACATGTTCAGATACCCCATTACTAAAAATACAACTCGGATATTAATTAAGATTACTACTTATTGGATACACATGTTTCAAGGGCTATATCAAAGTAATATTGGAACTACCACATCCATATCACAGTAACCAAAGAAAGTCTTAGAAGAACACCAGCAAACAAAAACTCTCTACAATATTCCCTTTGATCCTTTTGCACTGTGGCATAACATAATCAAAACTAAGATCCATTTCTTTCGGAGACAAACAATCAAGATCCACTATGAATTGAAAGTTTTCGCTGTAGCAGTTACTGTGATTGGAACTCGTGATAAATGAACAATACAAAATGATATTTGGGTTCAGGAGAATTTGTGGTAATGATATCTTGAGAAGAAGAGAGTAGATTAACTATTGTTGAAATTCAATTGTAAGGTGAAATTCTTGAATCAAAAAGGAGGAGACATAATTGAGTGATAAACATGGGAGGGGAGAATTAAGAGATAGTGGTTGATTTGGAGTGAAAGAGTTATTTAAGCAGATAATTAATCAATAATAGTTTTAAGGGATTGGGTATCTAATAGTATTTTCAAATAATATATTAATATATGGTATAAAATACTAAAAGTGGTAATATATGTAATTGTATAAAAGTAAAGAAAATATTAGTATATATAGTAGTGATGTATGTTTAATAAGGTAGTTTATCCTTTTTTTTAAATATAGGCAGATTCCAGTCCAGTGAGCAGAGCACTACAGTCTACCACAGAAGTACAGAACCGAGCATAGTCTCAAACTCTAGATACTGAAAAACAGAGAAGTTCCATCCAAAAAAAAAAACAGAGTAGAGACTAGAGAGTAGAGAGTAGAGAAGAAGAAGAAGAAAAGAAGAGAAGAACTAGAAGAGAAGAACTAGAGAGAAGATTTCGTACCTGAGAAGGAGCAGCAATTGCGATTGCGATTCGCGAAGAAGTCTCCACGAAGGAGCAGCAATCTCGAAATCCGAGGAGAAGAGGAGGAGCGTCTTGCGAAGGTCAAGATTGCAAAAGTACCCAAAAAAACCCTAATTTTGGCTTTTAATTATTAAGTCAGACCTTAAAACAAATAAAAAAAATAAAAAGGTGACGCCTATTGCATCACCACACCACGTCGCCTTATGCCTTTCCGTCGCCATGGCACGCCATTTTGAAGTCGCCTCGCCTCGCCGGAAATAGGCGATGACCCTTCGCCTCGCCTTATCGCCAAAGGCGAAAGGCGAGCGCCTTTCATAACACTGTTCGAGTGATAATGTGGCTGATTTATTCACCAAGTCTTTGCCAACCGCAACTTTCGAGAAGATGGTATACAGGATTGGAATGAGAAAACTTGGACAACTGAATCGTGGTTTTCATCAGAGGGAGTAAAATACGCATTGTACTCTTTTTTCCTTAATCAAGGTTTTATCCCATTGGTTTTCCTGATAAGGTTTTTAATGAGGCATTACTTGCGTAATAGGAATAACTATTTATACTTGTTCCTTCACTAAGAATTTTATTTTACATGGACATTCACGGGGAGTGTTGTAAATAATTGATGAATGTCTATTGTACCCCTTTTATGCCTATAAAGGCATTGTAACTTATATAGAAAACACACAAAAATAAGAAAGACAAGTTTCCTATTTTATCTCTCTACTGCATTCTTTCTTGGTTATTATTAGTTTAATTTTAGTATTCAGATTTCATTTTTATAACAGAAAGGTTCTAGTTAACTATAAAAAAAAAAGATGCTGAAATACACATATATAACCAGAATGTAGCACCAGAACAGAGCTTTCATTTGTAAGGAATTGGGCTTTAGAGATTACCACAGCTCAAAAGGATCATATCACAGGTCATTGAGGTGATAGTGATTCTTTCTAACTATCTGATTAAGGATGCTGCAATTTTTTTCCTTTAGCAGTGGCGTTCAGGTCATCTTGTGGCCAGAAGAGTCAAACCTTCGTGGCAACAAGTTGAGGACAGACGAGCATAATAGAACAAATTATTCTACTAATTAACTGTAAAGGCTTAGTCACAGAACCGTGATCAAAGTGAAATTTGATCGTAAATTTGTAACAAAATTTAAATTGGTTGGTCACTGGTCTATAGGGAGGGAAAAACCTGAAGGGCAGGAAAGAATGATGATTCAATCAAAGCAGGCTTGTGATAGCCTATCCGAGGAGCAACATCTCGAGTCATTCGGAAATACGGATCCTGAAAAATCACTTACTGATGTTAGTTCTTCCAGTAGAAACAGAGGGGAAAACTATCAATAAAAAAATCATGAGAGACATTGCATGTAGGAAAAGAAAGAAATGAAGCAGTAAAAACCAACATGACCTCCATCTTTTAGATTTGTTTTCTTTTTCTTTGAAGATAACATGACACTGTCTATATATCAGCTAATCAATATAATTTAAAGCAAAACAGGAGATTTCCTGCTTATGCCTATTTAATCCAGCAGATCTACAGCTTGAACTTGCTAAATTGTGTCAATAATCATACGCCCACAAACTAGTCAGTTAGAACATTTAACTAGAAAATAGCTCAAGGTTAACAGAGTAAAGACCGCAGCATAGGCTTAGGCTAATGTCTAATGTCTATTCACCACACACACGGATCTAACAACCCAAAAGAAGGACAAGATATATCGTCAGCAGATTACGCAGTACAAAGAAAGGCACCTATCAAGAGAAAATGTTGCTTCCAGTGTTTAAGTTCTCAAAAAAATGTTGCCTCCAATGTTTAGTAATATGACGAGACAATAACTTGAGGCCCAAATATATAATACCATCAATTGAAAAGGAACAAGCAGATTTGTGAGATCGCCCATCCAGCATTTTCTTTTGGGAAGTCAAATATCTTAAGTGCATAACTCACCAAGATGGTGTCGACTTTTAATAGTGGAAAAGGTATAAAATCAATTCAAGTCTCTCATTAGTTTCGCCAACTATACAGATCAGCACATCAAAAATACATTAAAATCAAAAGAGAACTCCTTAAAGGAAATCAATGGTTTCTATCATATTGGAGGTAGTTATGAAGGTTACTATGAGGAGATCTTTGTGGCAGTGAAAAATGAAGATTGCTTCTACTGATTGGGAAATAGCCACCACTGTCAAACAAAATATGCCCATCCCTGTAAACAGTACAGAATAATTTTTTGGATTTTGTTAGCTCCCTAACTCTCTAGCACAGTAGGGTTTAAGGGGGTTTATGTTTTTGGATGCTTTACAGGTTTTTGCACGGTTAGCTTCATGTAATTTTCATGTTTGAAGCAACTTTATATTCAGTTATAACCTCTGCATCCCTGGATGCCTTTCTAATACAATTTAATTACTTCACCCAAAAAAAATATGCCCTTGCGACTATACAACTAGTACTATTTTATTGACAACAAAACATACAGCTTCATTTTTGTACTAAGTTAGGAATATATTGCTTGATCAAGCAACTGTAATTAGACATTTGAAGAAACCACAACAACATACCCAGTGTAATCATGTCTTCTTCTTTTTTTGAAGAAATGACATTACCAGGTTCAAAATATATGTATTTAAAGAAATCTGACAAAAAAAGGAGCAAGGAAAAACCTGGTCAATGGCACATGGAATCAAACAGCGAATGTTCTCATTGCCAAAGATATGGGGAAATGAACTGGGGAAGGATGGCACAGCCTATAATTTTGTAAATTCAGCCATGTTAGTTTCTCCATACATTCAAAACCAAATTCAAATTTCTAAGTTTTGAGGAAAAGACAAAAACCACACAAGATTCAGAGTAAGCTGCTATTACATTTTTAAAATTTTTGTGGGGGGTGGGGGATTAGGTGAAGTATACTATTCCGGCTTCTTCAAGCTTTTGACTTTTCCAAAGTAGATCATCTGACGTGAAAATTGGAAAACAAATATGAAATATTGTGCACATAAGCTTCACAAATGGAAGCACAGAAAGGTTTTAGTAAAAAACCTCTCAGTGCTATATTGTTTCTTTGGTTGAGGACTGTCTATCAAAGCATTGTGGTTTTCTCTATATTTCCTTTATGTTTTCATTTCCTAGAGTTTAGAATGGGGACACTGGAGGGATGGACATATAAAGATAACTTAAGAACAGGAAGTATGAAGATCCTTCCGAAAGCATTTGTCCAAAACTTGAAAAAAAAAAAAATTGCACAATAGAGTAAGCTATAAACACTTAAACAGACTACAGTTATGACATTGAGGAATATGCTACCTGGACTGGTGGAAAACTAACTTTCCCAATGTGATCTTCACCTGTGAAACCAAAAATGCCAACAACCTGAAAAACAAACCACAGAGCACGATACGTTTAAGAACTTTAACATAACATACTCCTCTAGATATAAAGTGGAAGTAATCACCTTATTGTATGTGACACATTTTGCAACCCTGACCATGTTCTTGTAAAAGGCGCTGCGCATAAAGAATTCTTGTTAGCACCAATACTCTAAGTTGTCAAACAAGAAACACATCATAAAGTATGTAAATAAAAATCATGGAGATGTCCACATGAATTTGAAAGAAAGCACAAGTTGAATGCATCCTTGTGCGACCATCAAAATTCTACTTACAACAGACCATATAAGCAAAAATTATCTTTCTAAATAGCAACACCCGCCCTTATCACATCCAAAGCAACAAAACATAACCATGAAAACAATATAACTGAGTCTCCTCTCTCTCCCCGTCCACCGCATCCTAAAAGAAAAATCATTGTTGCATTAAGGACACTTCCCATCAAAAATAGGACAATGACTTTGTGCCACTTTACAAGTATCCCAAGTCTCACTCTGTATACTTCATTAATCCCTTAAAACATTATTTTCAACTTTTAAAACTTCAAAATATCACCAAAACACTATCCTCGTAACATATACTACTTCTAGTATGATTACCATATGTATACATGCTTTTATACCCACCAAACACACGAACAATACAATCTAAAAAAGGAATTCTCACTATGAACATTTTCCTTATAGTATAAACTGCATTCCGGAAGAAAAAGAGAGGTTACTTACCCACCAACATAGTCAAAATCAGAGAAAATAAACGTCTTTGAAATATCAAATCCACAAGCAATAATGTCTTTAGCATTCTCACGAGCAAGTCTTTGGCTTTCTTCCACTGACAAATTCTTCCACATACATTTCTCATCATCAGTCAACTGTATTACAAGTGGCACCTTAAAAGCATCCTGCAAGTACCTGCAGCACAATAAAACACATTCACAAACCCAAAAGTAAGCAAATATTTAAAAAAAAAAAAAAAAAAAACTAAATAAGCCTTGTGTATTCAAATCCCAATTACTTTGTAAACATGAAAGGGATAAGATGACCCAAATGCAAAGCTTCAGAAGAAGGTCCTCTGCCAGTGTACAAATAGAACTTCTCCCCTTTCTCATAAGAATCCAATATATCATTGAAATCACGATGAGCAAAGAAAACTCCACGGCGAAGGAAAACATGAGGTGCCCGATTTGTAAGACGTTGAACTCTCTGAATTAAGGACTCGTCAAGCCTCTGGCAACCAAATTTGTCGATCAATTTGTCATAGTCAATCTTCCCGCCGTCTTTTGCTGATACTTCCCATGGGTTCACTACTTGCTCCTCTTCTACCTCTTTGTTTTTATCATCTTTCAGCTCCATTTTCTCCATTGCGACGACTTGCGGCAAGGTAGTGAGGTTTTCAGGCGAAAATTTTGGTTTTCCGGCACCGGCGACGGCTTGCGGCGAGGCCGGCGAGTTTGAGGATTTGGGATTCAGAGAAGTGAAAAACCTCAGTGCTAAATGGGGTAATGAGATTTATTAGCAGAAATAGACATAAAATGTATCCTTTTTAGTCCTCGGTTATATCATATATTATCAATTTATCCCACTATTAACAAAATTTTCAAAATTACCCTCAAACTTTCCGTTTGGACATAATTTGAAATTTTTTTTGAATAAGCAATTTAGGTTTTTTTTTTTTTTTTTTTTACAGTAAACACTAAAACTTGACAATTCGTAAAAATTATCAAAATTTCTCGATTCTTATATATTATTACCAAATAAGAAAATCATAGTTAATAAATAAGGTAACAAAATATCATAAGACGTTGCATTAATAAATCACACATTTACATATCCCTTTTATAAATGCATGTTTGTGATTATATGTTAGTATTACAAACTTTCAAATACACATAGTAATATATAAATCTTCTTAAAGAGTGTAAAAGTCTTTCTTTACAAAATTTAAAATAATGAAATCTTTATTTGCAAAAAAAAAAAAAAACTTATGAATCAAGCTTTACATTTAAAATTATGATTCAAAAATAAATTAAAATTTTATTCACGTTTCATAAATAAACTTTGATTCTTAAATCAAAACTTCAAACTTAAGCCTCACATCCTTGACCTAACGCCTACTTTATAGATTTTTCACATTTCTTTTACTTACCTAATTTCACTTCTCTAATCCATAATCAAGTTTTGCATAATCGAGCATAAATAGGGGGTTCAAATCTAATTAACATTTTCTTTTTTTCAAGAAGTATGATAAGATTAATTTTCAGAAAAAATTATACACAATTTAAGATATCATGATCTCTAAAATTTTCTATCATTTTAAAAAATTACAAAAATTCTCTCTCGAACACATCCCTACCATTAAGTAATGTACTATTTACAATGTAACGAATAACTGAGGAATATATCTAAGAGCAATAAAAAATTCAAAAATTTTGAAATTGAGGAAACTTCTAGAATAGAATATAACTATCCCCAAATCCCCAAATGTATGGAATTTCTCTACTTTATACTAATTTTTAAGCAAAATATCTTATAGCATCTTGATAATTTAAGTAATGGCCAATTTGTTACAAAGGATTAACACTAAAATATGCAGCTTTAGTATCAATTAAATGAAATGACATAGAATATGAACATAATAAAGTTGTCTTTTTTTTTTTGACAAAAATATATAGGAGGACAATTCTCCCACCAAAAATATTACACAACGAATAATTTCTAAAGAATCAAATTTCTTTTTATTCTAATTGCATTAAATGAGTTATATAAAATTACAGAAAAGAGGTAAAGTAAAAGAGACAAACTATATTCTCTTAAACCACCTTAATCAAAAACAATTTTTATATAGATAAAAATAGAAAGAAAAAATGGAAAAAAAAATGCCAAGAGCTCTTGAATATAATTCAACCACTTAACCTTCTTTAATTTATTTCACAAGTCAAGATTTATTAATCTCATATATCATTTCAATTTTCTGGCCATTGCATTGGTAAATTTGGCCACTTAGTATTTTTTTTTCCTTTTCCAGCGATGTTTGGTATCCACATTGATGCCTGATTAATTTAGATCTGCGTCGTGTATGACTTCATTTGAGAGGAAACACTCCCTATTATAAAAAAAATCATACCAATGAGCTCGAATCCAAACAATATTTAGAGTTTTGTTTGGTAGCGCAAAAATACTTTCTCAAAAAAATTATCAGCTTTTTCATTACTCAAAGAACTTTCCCCCCTATTCAAATGGAAAATGACTTCATTAATATTTAAAATAGTTATAGATAAAATAATAATAATAATAATAATAATAATAATAATAATAAAAAGATTATAAATAAAGTTTTTACAGTTCAATTTTTTCAAAGACACTTAAAAAATTATACATAAAAAAGTTGCTCGTAGTAATATTACCAAACATATTAGGATATGAAGAGTGTATACTACTCTTGTTGTCATATTTTATTTTATGTGATACTATTTGACTACTAATTAAGTTAAAATTAAACTAGTTTTATCCCACAAAATTTTTAAAAATATGTATCTTCATACCAAACACATTAAAATGGAGGTTCTATGTGTGAATTGAAATTAAAGTTTATTGAATGTTACAAACCAAAAGTTGAGGTGAAAAATATGTATTAAAACTTTTGCAAATAATTTCTTCATTGTGTTGTTACTGATTAGTATACTTTATTTTTATTTTTTTGTTTGGGATAAGGGTCTGAAAAATATCCCAACTTTGATCGAATTTGTTGTTGCGATACTAAACTTTCATGATGACCTATTACCTTCCTAGACTATTTAATACTGTATTTTTTACCCCCTGAACTATTTAATAGTGTATTTTAAACGTATATATGTGCCCACGTGGACACATTACTATTTATAATTTTGCATTATTTTTTATGTCCACATGGGCAAATATATATGTTTAAAATACGGTATTAAATAGTCTAGAGAGGTAATAGGTCCTCATGAAAGTTTAGTATCGCAACAACAAATCCGATCAAAATTGGAATATTTTTTAGACCATTATCTCTTTTGTTTCATCTAAATTGGCGTCAAAGAAAGAAGTCAATATCAGAAACTCCAATTCCAATTAAAGTTATTTAGTAAGAAAATTGAGTAAAATTCTCAGTTGGTCACCTTGATGAAATTGTGTTATAAAGTTGTTTATTTTATTTTTATATAGTTACTTAATTTATGCATTATTTTTTACAAGTAACTCTAATCAAAAAGATATTTTCATCACCGGAAAGCTAACTTGGATAAACCACATGTACGGTCAATCAAAAGTTTTGAAAATATATATTCTTTTTAAGAAAATAAGTTACTTAAAAAATAAAGAAAATAAATTTCTCACTCTAATTAGGAAAAATAAATCCTACAAATAGCATTTCATATTAATTGTGTCTTTCCTACCTTTTAATATACCTTATCTTCACCTCACCTTCATTCTCACCACCCCACACCTCATCGCCCAATTACTCTCACCTCTCTCTCTCTCTCTCTCTCTCTCTCTATATATATATATATATATATATATATATATTATATGATAATAATTTCGCATATATGCCGAATACAAGAAAATAGATAAGTATTTTTTTCATGAAAGAACATTTTCCTTCATACTGAACACACCCTAATTTGGTTGTTTATGTTGGTGTTAGTGTGCATTTACTATTAAAATAATTAGTAGGCATAAAATAGAAAGAGTGGTGTCATAATACTTTAAAACTTACATAACCACAATGACATGTTGTTCTCGTTGATTATCGATCTCCTACTAATTGACTCACTAATCTTCAAATGGTTATCCACATTCTTGATATTTATTTGTGGAATATATTTTACACCTATATGAATTGATGTTTTCTTCATTGTGTTAAAATAGAAAAAGATGAGAAGTGGATGAGAAGTATGTTATGTTGTGCTTATATTTTGAGGTAAATGTAGTGAAAGAGAGAGTTAAGACAGAGAAAAATATTTGAAGTCTCCAACTTATTCATTATACAAAGATAGTAATCATGTATTTGAAGGAATATGTTCTTTTGGTAGAGCTTTGGACTCTTTGGCTAATTCAGAGTTGTTTGAGATATACAACGTTATTGAGTTATTGTATTCTGGAGACTAAAAGGGGCAAGTCAAGAGTTATATTGATAAATCTATATAGAACATATCTCAATTGACTTGATCAATCTCCTTAAAGAGAGAGTGAACAATATATTTGCATCTCAAACTGAATATTTATTTATTCAATTTTGTCATTTCATATTCAACTGTAATTTATGGTATATTCACCAACGACTTATTTTAACTCAAACCAAGAACCACCCATGTTAAAACAAATAAAATTAACGTTGGCTATTCTATCTCGATTGAAGTATTCCTTTTATGTAATTAACTAACGAAGGAAATTGTTTGTGATTCATTTTGAATATTTTTATATGTACAAGGTGTTAGTATAATATAATTAAGACATTTTCTATTAAAAAGTCGAAGTAACTATAATTTTCTATTATATGAGTATATATAACTTAAAGTCGACCAAACTACGATCGTGAATTATCATACTACAAAATATCAAAATTGAAATTATCAAATTAAAGTTTTCAATATTGTACCATGCACCCCTATTTGTGACTATATATATTGATAGATCATAAGGTTAGGTAAAACACAAAGCCTATAAAATTTAGAAAGTTATTTGGACTTCATTTGTCTATATTATTGTCTCTCTCTATAAACACATATAACTATAATCAAATATTATATACATATGATTTCAATTAGAATTAAAAATTTATGAGTGTACTTTTTAAGAAATAAATTAAAATTGCACTATATTTTATAGAAACGAACGCTTACACACTATTTATGAAAATGAAAAAAATAATACTATCATAATTTTAAAAAATAAATACCAGCCCATTACAGTTAATGGGCTTTGCTCAGGCCCATACCAGAGAAAACGCCCAAGCTAGTTCTCCCTCATCGTCTGCAGAAAGCTTCTTTGTTGTGTTTAATCAGACAGACTGTTTATAAAGCAAAACATTAACCTATATGTCTGTCCCTTCGGGGACATCCGATAAAATTGAAACGATACAGAGAAGATTAGCATGGCCCCTGCGCAAGGATGACACGCACAAATTGAGAAATGGTCCAAATTTTTTTCTTAAACAAACCCCCGTCATTTTACTAGTTTTTTCCTCCTTTTCAGAGCTACATTTTTTTAGTTACATTTTTGCTATTCTGATAAAAGGTTATTGTTACTAGAAATTAAAGTAAGTAAAAGCAATATTTGATAAGTAAAACCTAAATTTGCTTGATCAGCTAGAAATTCACAACATAAAGTGATTATACAATATAACAACATTTTGCCTTGATCTACCTAAGTTATATGGCCTATGAGGTTCAATCTTTTAAGATTTTTAGTATCGAAACGAGAAGGCAAGCTTGTTGGCTTCACATTCTTAAACAACTGTCTCAAGTTTATTAGTTTTGTTGATCTTGATCTTGTTTGGTGGATATGATGATGTATCATTGCTTTAATTAGTAAAGGAGCCATTTTTAGATTATGTTCAAAAGTTGTAAAATTTACACATATTTGGAATTTTTTTTAAAATATTTTATATATAATAGAACTTTTTATCGAGAGATTTCAAATTAATCCTCGCTACTCTCTAGATTCGTCTCTGGATGGTGATGTTTAGTCATGAAGCTAAGCTCATTCATTGACTTGCAATAGCGGTTGATTTTATCACATGGATTTACAAAGAAGTACAAGCCCCATATAATATTGTCAGATCTATTTAACATAATTGTCACATAATTCTGATTTAAATAATTAAAAAATAGAAACCAGAAGTAATTTAATCTTGATTTTTTTTAGAAATATAAATTTATATAATAATTATTACTCCCTCCGTTCCAATTTATGTGACTTATTTTCTTTTTTTGTCAGTCCAAAATAAAATGACACATTTCTATATTAAGTAATAATTTAACTATAAAATGTTTATTTTACCCTTAATGAAATGATTTACCGTCACACAAATTTCTAACCTTTATTTTGGACCACAAGTTTTAAAGTCTTCATTTCTTTCTTAAACTCCGTATCAAATCAAACTACCTCACATAAAATGAAACAAAGGGAGTACTAGTAATTATGACAACTAAAATGGGAAAAAAAAAATACCACATGAATTACTGTCATATGACATGTGCACTACTACTCTTTTGGAAATGTAAATTTCAATATTATCTGTAGAATCATTTATTAGGTATTTAAAAAATTTATTGCAACATTACATGTGCCATTTAATATGATATACAGAGTAATTGTGGTGTTAGCACTATAAATAGAGCTGAAATCAAGCCATTTGATTCACATCTACTTCTACAATTAACTCAAAACTCTTTGGAAAAAAATAAGGTTTGAGGAATTCTTTGGATACCAATATGGGGTATAGCTTGTGCAAGATGGCAATCTTTCTGGTATTAACTTTGAATATTGCTCGGCATCGAAGATGGACTAAACATCAATATCCCCATACTTGAAAGCGTTACACAGTTTCAAAGTTTGTTGATGTTGATGTACAGTTCATCTTCGGCGCCAAGCGATATTATTGAAAGTTAATAGTAGAAAGGTTGTCGTCCTGCACAATTAATTAACCCTTGATTAAAGAAAAAAAAAATGTACTTTTGTTCTTGGATATGTAACCATATATATCATTATATTGGTAAGTTTTGGGTAATATTATTTCACTACATTTATGAATGTGATTTACATAACTAGTGTTTTGGAAGGCGTGGGATGATAAAAAACATGTCCGCTCCCTTTTTGAAGTGAATCATCGATTAATATAAAAATAAAATATTAAATTTGTATATACATGAATTATGAATAACCAAAAACTTATAGCAAAAACATATTAGGCAAAATAATTTATTGTTTATTAATTATTATCATGCAACTAAAACTGAGGGAAAAAAAAACTAAGCAAAAAAATGCAAGAACAGCTTTACACTTATAAAATTGAAGATTTTGTTTGAGAAAAAAATTTGGACCATTTCTCGATTTGTGCGTGTCATCCTTGCGCAGGGGCCATGCTAATCTTCTCTGTATCGTTCCAATTTTATCGGATGTCCCCGAAGGGACAAATGTATATCTTAATGTTCCGCAATATAAATCCCCCAAACAAATTTTCTGCAAACGATGAGGGAGAATTAACTTGCTAGTTTTTGTGTTTTCCCTGGCACGGGCCTGGGCTTCTTTTTTTGTTGTTTTAGTTGGATCTGAACAAAGCCCATTTTTTGTGCCTGGATTAATTGTAATGGGCCGGCCTTTTTTGTTCCTTTTCTTTAGGACAAATTACTTAACTACACTCCTTTACTTACCTTAATATCCATTTATCCCTACTTATTTCAAAAATTTCAAAAATCCCTTACTTACCTATGTATCCCGCATGTATCCCGTGCACAATGCTATGTATCCCGTGCACAACGCTATGTATCCCGCTATGTGGTATGTATCAAACCTAATGTATCTCGTGCACAATGCTATGTATCCCGCTATGTGGAATGTATCAAACCTAATGTATCCCGTGCACAACGCTATGTATCCCGCAAACATCATTTTTAAGGGATTTTTGGTAAATAGAAAACTAGAAGGGATAGGATGTTATTTAGTACTTATAATATGTGGTTCCTATAATTTATACTTTTCTTTATAGAGAAATTTTCATAACTAGTGTTATTAGCGTTCGTTTTTGTAAAATGTGATGTTTTTTTTAAGGGAAAATTATATAAAATAGCAAACTATTTATTCAAATTAAATTGTATAACCACAGTTTGATTTAATTGTAACCCGTAGCAAACAATTGTCATTCGCCTCTCTCCCTGAATTTCTCGCTCGCTACTCTCCTGATCTCGCTCGGCAGTCTCTCCTTCGCCTTTCTCACTTTATACAAACACAAATGTATACAATGTGTTTGTATTTGTATAAAACGAGAGAAAACTATATATATACGTATCTTTTCATTCACCTCTCTCCTAGAGAATCTCGCTCGCCACTCTCCCAAATCTCGCTCGCCACTCTCACTCGCCTCTCTCACTTTTTATAGAAACACAAATGTATACAATGTGTTTGTGTTTGTATAAAGCGAGAGAAAATTATATATACAAATACAAATACATATATTTTCGTCATATACACTTATAATTATACAAATGCAGATCTTCCCCTGTCCAGTTTTCTTTTGTCTTTCTCTCTTTCTCGCTTTATACAAACACATATTATACAATTGATTCGTATATGTATATTGAAATATACATATTAATAGTCATTCGTATATGTATATCGAAATACACATATTAATAGTCATTTGTATATGTATACCGAAATATACATATTAATAGTCATTCGTATATGTATACCAAAATATACATATTAATAGCCATATTCATATAATTATACCGAAATATACATATTAATAGTCATATCAAACATAAAGTTTGATATGAAGCGTAATTATACAAACTATAACTATAACATACTAATGTAATTTTTATATTTGCTAAACCTAAAATTTACTCTTTTTTGAAACTAAGCAAAATACATTCTATTTACATTTATCTAAAAAAAATCTAATCGTAATTGAAATCCACGAATACAATGTCTCATTGTGCTTCCTCTATTTTATTTTATGTCGCACTTTTTTTTTAATCTGTCTCCGAGAATAATGTTACTTTGTGATAACTAGAAATAATTTAACTTTTTAAAATTCTCTTTTTACTTTTAGTTAAATGATTTACAACCATACAAATATCTCGAAATTTTTTTAGATCACAAATTTCAAAACACAAATATCTTATTTGCAAAATATTGTGTTGTTTTTCGAAACGTAGCAAAATACATACATAAATAAAATAATTTAATCCAAATTGAAATCTCCGAATACAATGTCTCATTATGCTCCCTCAGAACAAGTAATTTTCAAGAAAATAGGGGTTCCGAATGGGAGAAGAATAAGACAGACTTTCCTTTGACTAGTTTGTTGACTGAATGACTCTATAAAATTAGGTCGATACTTCCACATATCATGAATAAGGTAAGTCACTTCTCTATTTTTCTGATACCCTTTTCTTTTTAGCCCGTTTTAAAAAAAAGATACTTTAATATAATTAGAAATTAGAAATAATTTAGTTTTAAAATTCTCCTTTTACAACCACACAAATATTTTATTTTAGATCACTAAAAATGATTATCCTACAATACTTATTCAATTTAAAAAATCAAATTTATTTTTTAACTTTTGTGTCTATTTATCATCTAGCAGATTTCGTGCCCTTGTATTGAACGTTTTTCGTGCATTAAGGGAGGAGTTAAACACCAAACGTGAAACGTCGCCATCTTCCATTAAAACCGGCAGTTTTGATCTCTCTCCGGTGGACTCTTCATCTAAAGGTAACCCTATAGTTTCAATCAACTTCTCGTTTTATGTTACATCTCTTTGCAGTTTCCACTTCAATTACGAACCCTTTTTAACCCCTCTACTTTTGGGTGAATTTGTGTAGCAATAGGAACTCTCCTGTTTCTGCTTACAATGGATTTGTGATTAATTCATATTGAAATTGGTCATAGTTGTTGTCATTCTTCTCTAATTTGCCCTATTTATAAAACTATCACTTTACTTACTTGAATCATAAACTTCTCATCACTATTTTTGAGAAGTTTAAACGGAGGAACACTCTCTAATTAGAGGAAGAAAGTCCTTATATAAAATTTCAGTTAGTTAGATGAACTTTTTTTTGGTTTCCCACCGGACTAAATCTGGATCGTGCACTGCAGGACCCATTTAGGGGTGACGGTCTCAACATGATTTTCATCGTCTGGTTAACGGTGAAGCAGTCCTACACTGCACCATAACCCATGTTGGTTAGATGTACTTAATTTTTTGGTGACTATTGATCTTCTTTTTTTTGTAGACACTAACAATGTTCTCTCAACTTGAAGTTTGTGGTCCTCCAACAATCTTCCAATTTCTTATACCATTACGAAAATTGTTGAAAAATTGTATGTAGATAAAAAACATTGAATTATTAGTCATATGCAAAGGCTATGCATACATTGTTGAAATATGTATTTTTGTATATTTGCATGTGTTATCTTGATGTCAAAATTCTGTTGAGAATATTGAATACTCCGAAAAGTGCATTTGCTTGATACTATTGGTTTAACTTCCCTGATCTTAACTTTCAGAAGTGTATGTAACTTGTAAGTATTCGATCATGAGGAGTGCTACGAGATCCGGTGTAGATACAATTAGTGATTTGCCTTGTAATGTTCTGGATGGAATATTAGGGTGCTTGCCTCTGAAAGATGCAGTGAAGACTAGTATCTTGTCAAGAGACTGGAGGTATAAATGGGTTACACGTCAAGAACTTGAGTTTGATTATCAATTTTTTGTGACGTATTCATGTAATCAAGCTAAGGCAATCATTTACCAAGTCCTATTACGCCATAAAGGACCAATACTTAAGTTTAGTCTTGGGAGCTCTAACATGACAATATATCCTGATATTGATCACTGGATACGTTTCTTGTCAAAGAAAAATGTTCAAGAATTCACCCTTTGCGGAAACGGCTTACACAACAGATATCATTTACCTTCTCACTTTTTCACGTTCCATCACCTAAGGCATCTGAAAGTTGATCGATGCTCGTTCCATCCTCCACCCGATTTCAAAGGGTTTGAGAAGCTTATTAATCTTGACCTTCATTTTGTCACTTTTGATCCAGCAATACTTAGGAATCTTATTTTCAGATGCCCATTGCTTGAAAGATTGACGTTGAGATGGTGCACAAATTTTGACACCCTTGAAATTGATGCACCTAATCTCAAATGCTTTGACTTTAGAGGAAATTCAAAGTCCATTTGCTTCAAGAACGCCCCTATGCTCGAGAAACTTATTGTGCATCTCAATTCACGAGTTTCGATGGTTGCATCTCCTGTTTGTTCCAATATTACAAAGTTCTTCTGTCACATGCCATGCCTAATGCAACTGGATATAAGTGGTCATTTATTGGAGGTAAAGGAGATTTGTGATATAATTAGTTATAGTCTAGTGAAGTTTGGTGCTTATCTACATAACCAAATGGTGCATCTGATTTGTATCTTTAACTAATTTTTGATATTTTACTAGTACTTAACAATGGGAGGTCTGCCGGAGAATCATCTGACTGCTCTGAACAATGTCAAATCTTTCAGTGTTCGGGCAATGTTCTTCAGAAGCATTAAACATGTTTCAGGTGTTATTTACTTGATTAAAAGCTTCCCCAAATTACAAAAGTTGACTATTGAATGTGTAATCACTCTCTCCTATTTCTAATTAAGGTCATTTTATACAGTTTCGTCATCTGATCACTTTCTGATAATCTTTTAGGGAATGAAAAGCGAAGCTGTGGAACCTGTTGTACAATACTTACAAGAACAATCAAGCTTGTGTGGTGCTGTGAAGCTGCTTCAAAAAGTACATATGAGTATGTTTAGTGGTCTTGAGGTGGAAATGGAATTTCTGAGGCTTATATTAGCGTCTGCACCTGTACTTGAGGAAATTTCCGCTTGGAATTATGAACATCTCCTTTGTCTGTCGGGTAGAGAAATTAAGGATGAGATGAAACAATACCAACGAGCATCTCCCAGTGTTAAATTCATAGTTGATGAAATTGTGGTAGAAGATGCTTTACCATGAGTTGAGCATCACCACACCTTGAATGTGGTTTGGATTGGGGCTCGGGTGGTACATCTGAGGACCAGAGGAGGAACAGGTTCTAGGGCGAGTAGCGGAAGTTGAACCTCAACTTTGGATTCAAGTTGTATACTACATCAGTATTCAGTAGTGTAGATAACATTTATATTATAGCGAGCTATTAGTATTATTATATATATACTCCATCCGCCTCAAAATATTTGTCGTTCTTAATAGAAGTATTTGTTATGTTACTATGTCATAAAAGTTTGTGTTTCCATCTTATGCATTCATTTTTGACTTCCTAGCTGGTTAATAGACACAACATCAGCTCAAACAGATCAATTAAAAAGTTGCCCTCTGAATCCTGAAGTACATGGCAAGTTTACCACCTGATTGTGGCAACATCGGAAATGAAACAAGCAAGTGAAAGACATAACTACATCTTAGGCACTCTTGATAACTACATCTTCTTCATAGTTTACTGCATCCCCGCCTCTAAGATCTGCTGCTGTATCTTCAAAGTAATCGTCCCGAGCATTATTAGATAGCATCAAGCAAACCAACCAGAAGAGCGCAGAATCAAGAGACAAGAAGGCACCACCACCAAGAAGACCAGTCTTGGCAGTTGGACACTCCGTTTGCAAGTTGTGGTGTATGTTCCGCGTGATATGAAGTTGCTCACTGATGATAGGCCACAACAACAGCACTGCTGCTAAACCAGTTGTACCCCTTTATTTTACCAGCAGAAGATCAAAGCTAAATGAGTCAAAGTGAAACAAAATTGAAATAACGTAAACCAAAATGACAAGAATTGCTTCTTCTGCTCACTAGTAGACATCAAAATCACTAAAGAGCTAATATGAGGTAACTGAGACACAAAACATAAAATGAGAGGCGGAGGCAGAGTTTAAGAAATATACTTACAAAGCAACATTGAGGAATACAATGAAACTAGTGCTTCTCAGCAGAACAGCCTGAGGAATTGACTTTCCCTTATATGGATAAAACAAAGACGAGAAGCCGGCTACAGCAGATGCAGCAAGAAAGATAACAGACAATAAGCCCAGGGCAACAGTGTGATCAGATCGATATTTACAGATAACAACCCCATTTCCTAGTATTGCAGTTCCATTTGCTGGCTGCAACAAAAGAACACTCAGACAGAGCACAAACAGGGAAAGTGGGGAAAAAACGTTCCATACTACTATTACCCTATGTTGCTCGGACTCTTCAAAAATCCCATTGACTGCGTGCCAGAAACTCCTAAAACAATGCATTTTTGGGGAGTCCGAGCAACATAAACTATACTTGTTCTTCATGTTTATCTTATGGCTATCAGGTTAAGTTCAAGAACATGTTATGTAGCTCTGGATGCATCTCTAGGGGACATAGCAATCTTACTCTCAACTGATGAAATCGAAAAACATCAAGCATATACAATTAATACCTCCCACTCAACTACAATTCTTCACCCTATGCAAGAAAAATCCTCGTTAGAATTACCAGCGGTCACTAAAGTGGATTGAGAACCTCAAGTTCAATTGCCAACAAAGGCCAAAAAAAAAAAATACGAGGTGATTTCTTTTTATCTGTCCAGCTTTGGTAGACATAGTTATTCGTATTTGGCCCGGAAATCAATGTTACAAATAATAACGAGAGAGAAAAAAGGAACCTCACTTTCACATAAATTGAAGGGAGAAAATGAGGGGATGATCAAAAAGTTTAAACTCCAATTTGTTGAAATCTTGGTCTATAATAAATTATTGACAAAATTATTAACGAGTAGCATGATGAAGTTAACAAACCTTTTTATTTTCAGCAATAACACCAAATATAAATGAGAGAACACCAAGAGTTACTATAATAATGTACATATGCTTCACAGACATAGCCATTGTAGCAGCTCCAAATTAAACTTGCCAAAATTACTAAATACCCCATTGATTTACCACTTTATTATCACAAGAAATTGCATTGACAACTCCGAAAAGCTTTGCTCTTAACGAAATTGTGAGCAAGTTGGCAAACAGGCCATTCTTTCTCTACAACGACCTATTCGAGGATTGCAATTTTTTTTTCTATTTTTTATTCGGTCTAAATTGATGTCATGTGTCAAATGATGTGGCATGTCAAGTCAAACGAAGAATACACTGGGAACATGTCACATGTCAAAGCATACCTAGTCATACAAAATGGCAATGTAAATGTGTCATGTGTATGTACAAATAACATGTTTCAGTCAATCACATATCGAGTTTTACATTGTCAGAAGAAAAAAAAGAGCTTGTCCTTATAATTACAACTCTTTCATCCCGTTACCAATATGTTTACTTCCATTGTAGGTAACATATTTGGGTTCAAAGCCCTGCACACTCTATGTCTGGAAGATCTGCGAATTCCTCCTGCTTATGTTAAAACTTTCCAAGGTCCGCCTCATGGGATCCAAGTTGAAAGAGATAAATTGAACAAGATGGTCATGCCCTGCTGGGATGTATGTACTATTAAATCTAAATTGGTTATCTGCAAAAGACTATGGTGGAGGTGTCTATGAATGTCTTCACGGTGGACTTGATTTTACCAAAGATGATGAGAACATGAACTCACAACCATTTATGTGTTCGAGAGATCGTTTCAACTATAAATAAGGATCTTCGATTCCTCATAATTTACAAAAGACACCAAAAATTTAACAAGAAACCGGAGCAAGACTGTGGATCAAGCGCCACATGTTTCTTTACAAGCACTGAAGTATGTCTTTATTAGTTCTAGAAATTAAGATGAATATTCAACATTAAGTTTAAATTCAAGCTCAAGTCAAATCAAGACAATTCAATTCAAAATCAAGTTTTAAATCCTTAAATTCAAATACAATTCAAGATCTAAACATCAGCTTCAAGATCAAATTTTAAAGTCCTTGAATTTTTTTTCAAAAAGAAAAATCAGAGGACTCATAGAAATTATAATACTCGTTATATTTAAAATAAGCTACAATATTTGTCTATCTTGATTATTGACTTTATTGATGAAAATTTATTGTCAACTTTCGTAAGATATTTTTATTTTTGTAGCTTTAGACTTATGTTAGTGTGTTTGGATATTTATGTTAAAATCTTTAACAAACTTCTTATAATTTTTCTTTAATGTTAGATTTATTTTTTCAAAACATATTCGTTTATTTCAAGCTATTATGTCACCAGGTTTACGTCTCAAATGGTGCTAAATAAAATGTCTCTCACATTTTGAAACATACTAACTTCCAATTTCATTTAATGTTTAGAAAGTTTGGATATTAGGTATTGAACTCAAGAATATAAAACAAAAAATGAATTGCCTTGGTAGATTAAAACAAATTTACTTAAATTACAATAAGATTAGAAGAAAATAAACTTTTTACCATTAAAAGGAGGAATTTTATTTAAAGCTAATGGAAAAGAAGTTCCTTATTATATTTTTCTTTGGTTAGCCTTTTGGTTATCATAATGGTGTATAAAATAAAGAATAAATAATAGTCTAAAGGTGAGAGGTCCTTATATTGATTTAATTGTTTAATCACATATTAAGATATGAAAATATATCTTAATGTTGCTTAATTAGATGAACTTTAGGGTTCAACATCATAGCCCTAGGAGGAAGTCACCAAAGTGCACTTCAAATTTACAAAGTAATATATAAAAATAATGCATTATTAAAAGTAATAAAAAGTGTGGGACTTCGAATTAATGCATTACAAAAAGTGATAAAGTGTGGATATATTAATACAACACTTTTTTAATTGATAAAAGGGGCAAAATAAATAGAAGATCAAACAACTAAGGTTTTGTTTGGTAAGACGGAAAATATTTTTTACAATTTTTTTATGTTTGATTGACTAAAAGAATTGAAAAATGTTTTTTCTAAAGAATATTTTGTTTAAATGGGGAAAATGTTTTTTTTCCTAAAAAATAGAAAAAAAAACAAATAATTACTAATTCGTTGAATATATACATTCTCAAGAAGAAATGAACCTCAGTGTTAGACTTGTTAAAAGAGCATATTTTCTACTAAAAAAATACGGGATAAAAGCCATGATGTTGATTTAAAACCAAAATAAAATAAAAATAAAAATCAATTTTAGAAATATTTTACATAAAATAAAAAACAAAACAAAATATTTTAACATAAGATGTGTTAGTATGTTATCGCGTAGTTTCTTATTTTTTTTGTGTGCATTATCATTCGTTGTTGTATCTTGTTACTTTGTTATTTTATATTTTTTACAATTTTGCATTGGTTACACTTCTTTTAAGTTCAGAATCTATTGAAATAACCTTTCTACCTCATAAAAGTAGAAGCAAAATTGTGTATATTTTACTATTCTTGCAACCAACTCATAAAATTGTACTAAATATGTTATTGTTGCTTAATATATGTAAGCAATTTCTCACAAGTGGAATTCATATAATTTTGATCTACCGTAAGACTTATGATTCTTCTTGCTAAAGTATTAAAAAAAAGGAAATAATCTAATTACATAAATATTCCTATCATATTTATTAATGATAAAAAAAAAAGAAGAGAAATAGTCTAATTACACAAATATTCCTATCATATTTATTAATTTTTCTTATAGTTTAAAAATAATTATATTTTATATCACTAATTAATAATTTCATATCAAATTTCAAGTTAAAGGGAAGCGAGCGAGATTTGTTTGTGTATCCGTCAAAATATATAGTAAATAGGTAAATGATGCTATCAAGGATCAATTGAACAAGCAACATGGGTTGTGGTGCATTGGTTGTAGTGTTTCACCCTTAACCATAGGTCTCGGGTTTGAGCCCTGGATATGGAGAAAATCTTGTTGGGAGCGCCATCCCTTAATGGCCCTGCAACGTGCGATCCGAATTTAGTCGGAGCTCCAATGTAGACTTCGGACACCGAGTGGAAAACAAAAAAAAGATCAATTGAACATACAACCTCAAACAAATTTTCCAACCTCTTTACCATTACACTAAACCTTCAACTATTGTCAAGATGTGTCAATACTTATATATATATATATTCATTAAATCAAATTTTGACCTATAAATACTGTAATTTCCCGGCGAAGCTGCCCTAGTGAGATTTCGGTAAATTACCCCAAAAAATTCTTAAAATATACTAAATTAAAAGTAAATAAATTAATTAACAAGAATGCTCATGCAATCAACAATAATTACTCGAAAAATATTTCATCTCATACTTATTTATAATTTTATTTTATTTTTACTAAAGATCAAGGAGATATGTAGGTTAGTGTACAACATTGTGATTTAACTATAGCCTTACAATTGTATATTTTAATTCTATAGAACTATGTATAGGTCTCCCACCTAATCTTTCTTGCAAGTGAGTATACCTAATTCTCTTGTAAAAAGGCAAAAACATCAAAGTGATGACTAAAAGCCATTTGTGACCCAATCTACACACTTGTTTGTGCTCTTTTTTTTTTGCCATCAATCATACAACACTCAAGATACTTTAGCTTTTTCTTCTTCTTCTTAACTTACATTAAAATTGAAATTTAATATGGTTATCTCTTCTTCTTCTTTTTCCGCTCAATCTCTGTTATTTGTATTGAAATTTGGTTAAATTTAAATTTACATATTACATATCCAATTTTTGAAAACAGTACTTCCAACATGATTTATTTTAATTATTTTCAAGGCTCATACTTGATTAAGAGTGAAGAGATTTCTGCTATTTCGACTACAAACAATATTTGGTTTCTCTTTTTCTTATAAGTAAGCAATTCTTTCCAAAAAGAGAAAAAAATATATATTGTTGCATTATAAATGTTGGGAGAATTATTGAGGTTGCACTTTGTGCATGCACATAACCACATTTTCTTTAACATGCCCAGGAGCGGAGCCTCAGTTCAGATGAATTCAGTAACTTTTGTATATATCCAATATTTACATCAGAAATTTCAATAAACTTATCTAAGTACTGTTGTAGTAATTAAGATTTGTGTCAAGTAAATCTGGATTGAAGCACTTCATACAAAGAAGCTCCCTATTTCAAAGGCTCGACCTTAATTAATCTTGATCAAATCACTACTAGAAAAATAATTTTTTTATTGCGAAAAAAAATAAAATTATGTTAGAAAACATGATACGTTTTCACCTTTCACCGAATTGATGCTCATTGAAAAAATGTATGGTGGAAAACAGATTCTCACTGAAATACTGAAAATCTTCTTCTTTTTTTTCTTTTCTTATTTATTCAATCGAAATATATGCGATAATAACAACTGAATAATTTTCAACAAGAATTTACAACGAGAAAATAGTATTTTTTTTAGTAGTGTTATAAAATGAAAAGTTGTAAATTGAAAATGACTATATTTTTATAACTTTTGAGTGATTTAATTTGAATGTTTAATAGACGTATAAATAAATTTGAAATACTTATAAGTCAATTTGACTCTTATTTGCCAACTTATTAAGTTACAAGTGAAGAAAAACAAACATGGAGACTCGAATCGAGGAGCAACGTAACCAAGAGCATTGTTCCATTTAGGGCGAAATAAAATGGATGAACACGAATTATTTGATGTCCAAGTCGATTGATCAGACGACGATTACTTCACTTATTATTTTAATATTAACCATGACAATAGTTCAAATACTCTCTGAAAACACATATTTACAAGGGCTCACTAGTTAATGGTTAGGTGAAAACTCACTATTCATTTCTGGAATGAAATATTACTATTCTATAAATGATAATCCAAACAAAAAATATTTACGTAGAACTTGTGATATCCTTTTCATTTGTCATGGAAATAATGGATCAATTATTGTGTGGAAATTTATTATTAGTGGACCTCAAGAAACTTTTTCCACAATTGAATATAAAATTCACCACTAAAGATTTGTTTGGAAAGTCATTTTCTAATTAAATTTAGTGTAATTATTAAAGGAATAAGGGTCTGAAAAATACTCAATTTTGGTTGGATTTGCTGTTGCGATACTAAACTTTCATGATGACCTATTACTTCTCTAGACTATTTAATACCGTATTTTAAACATATATATTTGCCCACGTGGACATAAAAAATAATGCAAAATTATAAATAGTAATGTGTCCACGTGGACACATATATACCTTTAAAATACACTATTAAATAGTTCAGGGGGTAAAAAATATGGTATTAAATAGTCTAGGGAGGTAGGTCCTTATGAAAGTTTAATATCGCAACAACAAATCCGACCAAACTTGAGGTATTTTTCAGACCCTTATCCCATTATTAAAGTAGTGATTGTTTGTAGTAGAGTACATCTATCAAGACTTATTTATTTATTATAATTATAATGTTGTAATTGCAGTGTAATTTTAAATGTGTTATTTAATTGCACATATTTACTTTCACAACTAGATCTTTGAATTTTAAAAATAAATATTAATTATCAAAAACTAAAATATGCTCATATAAGAAATATTACTAATATTTATCTACGTTAGGTATTCAAGATACATGTTATTTTAAAGGCGAAATAGTTTGGTAGACCCTTATACTTGTATCAGTTTGTATTCTGAACCCTTCTACTTGCGCCTTTGTCATCTGGACCCTTAAACTCAATTAAAATGAGACTTTTAATCCCCTCCAGCCATGTGTGTAGCTCACTCTCCTTCATATAATTGACATGTCATATCCACGTCAGATATATTAATGTCATATCATAATTATTTCATAACTATTTTTAAAAATTATTAACCAAAATTATTTAATAAAATGTAAAATAATAACATTTTAATTTATTATTGGCATTTCTAATTCTCCCTATTTTCACTATTTCACGACCAAAAGAAAGCCATCGCCGGTGTCGTCGCCATTTTTGCCGGCGAAATCACATATACTTTCTTCCTCACCCGTCTTCATCTCCGCCGCATACCATCACTATTTTTCTTTCCTCCACCAACCTCCACGGTAACAACAACTTAAGCCACCGCACAACCAAATTCAAAACTACAACTTGCCCGACTAAAGGCAGCCGAGAAGGTGAAAGGAAGAATACATCAACAGATTGGGCACCAAATGGGGGCTTAAGGTTAAAATCAAAATAATACTAATCTCTACACAGTAACTCGCACTAGGAGATCCTTCACCATATCTGCAAGCAGATTTTTTAAAGGAGCTAATAACATGAAAGCTCGTACAAAACAGCGCATACTCTCTCAACATAACAAAGTGAGCCAATTTGATTTATCTGAAACACAATAAAGTGAAGTAATCAGAAGATTAGCAGTGAAGTACTAGATCTGGCCACCGCACAACCAGATCTGGCCAAACTTTTCGTAATTTAACGCCGACTACTATTTTCACGCCCCAAATTGCTTACAAATACAATTTCACACCAACCTCTGCTGTGAAATTCGTCGAAATCTACCCAAAATTCGCTTGAGATTTTCTTGGGTTATCGAAACCAATTGAAAAAGACAAGTTTAAGGGATTAGAAGGAGACGGTTGCTGTGAAAGATTGAAGATGGGGAAGAAAAGGAAGTCTCTAGCATCGAGCCTTGATGAGGTGAATCAAACCATGTATTCGACTTTCTGTAGCGCTGCTAATTCTCTTTCTCAGCTTTATACTCAGGCTATGAACCAACATAAATTTTCCTTCCTCTCCGGTGAACGCCATGGAATAGTATTGAAATTTGAGATCAACATGTTAAGCATTCCCTTCCGTTTCTTCGAAGATCTATGGCTCGCCAAGATCTACTTACAAAGTTGAAGTTGCCAGAGTTGGAAAGCTTAAGGAAAGCAATTAAGCTTTGGGCAAGAAGAAATAAATTTTAAATTAATTGTTTTTTTTTAAAAAATATTTCTTTTATAATTTTAATATTTTTTTAACCTAAAAAAGTTGTTCACTCGCCTTAAGATGCGTGAAGTCACACACTTTCGCCAACTCAGTCATCTTAAAGATACATAAGTTTGGTCAATGGTCAGAGAGATTTGTTAAATTGTGTTTTTATTGAGTTTAAGGGTCTAGATGACAAAGATGCAAGTAGAAGGGTTCAGAATACAAACTGATACTAGTATAAGGGTCCACCAGACCATTTCGCCTATTTTAAAATATATCATTTTAAATTATTAACTAATAGTATAAAAAATAATTGATAGATAATTCTGAAATAAATGATATTTGAGTTGAATTAATTTTAAAAAATTATAACTAAGCACACATTTTGCACGAATATCATGGATTATATGTTTGACAAAAAAAATTAACATTTATAGCCATAATTATAACATTGTTCAAATATTTGATGAATATAAATTAAATTTGCCTATAACCTTATTCAACAAGAAAATATAACTTCAACCATATCACTCATTATAAGCTAACTTACAATTTGATCATACATTTTAAAGTTGAAATTTGAAAATTTGAATTTTTAAAATTCTATTTAAATATGTATTATACTTGAAAAAATATTAAAATTATATAAGTTGAAGTCCCAAAATTCCATAGCTGATCTATTTGAACAATGAATTTTGAAAATCTGATCAAATATCATAGAGAAAGTTCAAGAGAATTGAAATAATATATGATTGTGGAGAAAAAAAAGTATGTGGCATATGAACAATTATTTTGGTACAAAAACTAAAAAGCAAAAGCAAACATTGATTAAATGTACTAGTACTAGTTAACATAGTTCAGTTGATGCTAGATCACTTGAGTACATATATATATATATATCACTATCTCATGTGTAGCTATCATCTTCACCTTTCTTTGACAAGTATTTGTGACTCAATACTCAGAAAGTCCAGAATTTCCTTCACCTTTTAATTGTTGAATTTCCATTGCTTAACAAGATTGGTTTTCTCTAGTAGACCTACTGTTTTCTTCCTTGGGATGTAAAGTAGTGATCTTTTGAACTCCCTTTTCTTTTTCTCTGTTTTCATTTCAGAATATGCTTTCTTGCCTCCTTTGATTTGGTATATTTTCAGCTTCTACTACAAATGATCTTTTTCCCAATTCAAAATTTGAAACCCCCCTTTTGAAACCCTTTTTATTTATCTTCTCAAGCAAGAACCCATGCACAGACCACAGTTCTCCATTAGATTCTTGAATTCTAAAATCTCTCACACTCTCTGAGTTGGTGACATGGGTGGTGTAAAAACAGATAAAGTTTTCTTCTTTGTTGTTGTTAGTTAGTTTTGAGCCACTTGAAATTCCAATTCTTGAAGACCCTTTTGGATTCTTGAGCTAGTTTGTGAGTGAGAGTTCAAAACAGATAAAAAAAAAATCTTCTTTGTTGTTGTTAGTAAGTTTTGAGTCTCTTGATAATTGAAGACCCTTTTGGATTCTTGAGCTAGTTTGTGAGTAAAGTTTAGAACAGACACAGTTTTCTTCTTTTTTGTTGTTAGTAAGTTTTTTGAGCCTCTTGAAGACCCTTTTGGATTTGTGAGTGAAAGTTCGAAACAGACAAAGTTTTCTTCTTTTTTGTTGTTAGGAAGTTTTGAGCCTCTTGAAATTCCAATTCTTGAAGACCCTTTTGGATTCTTGAGCTAGTTTGTGAGTAAAAGTTCAAAACAGATAAAAGTTCTCTTCTTTCTTGTTGTTAGCAAGTTTTAAGCCTCTTGAAATTCCAATTCTTGGAGACCCGTTTGGATTCTTGAGCTAATTTATGAGTAAAAGGTCAAAACAGATAAAAGTTCTTTTCTTTCTAGTTGTTAGCAAGTTATAAGTCTCTTGAAATTCCAATTCTTGGAGACCCTTTTGGATTCTTTATAAAGTTGATCATGGTGTTTTTGTAATGAAACAATTTCAAGTTTGATTTTTGTTTTCTTGTTTTCAGCAAGTTCTTGGTTCTTGTTTAAGAGGAGGCATTTCTGGTGTAAAAAGGAGATGAGAATTCTGGGTGTGAAGTATGGTTTATGGATTTCAATGATTTTGGGGTTTATGGTGTTAGGGAAAGTGTATGGAATAGGAGCAAACTGGGGAACACAAGCAACACATCCATTGCCACCAAACATAGTAGTGAAGTTACTGAAAGACAATGGGATTCAGAAAGTGAAGCTGTTTGATGCAGATTCAGAAATCTTGAATGCCCTCAGTGGCTCTGGAATTGAAGTCATGGTTGGAATACCAAATGAAATGCTTTGGAGTTTAGCTAACAGTTTGGGTGCTGCTGAGAAATGGGTAGAGAAGAATGTCTCTTCACATGTCTCTTCCAACAGTGTTGATATCAAGTGAGTTTACTTTCTTCTCAATATTCTTCGCGCTTTTTAAGTTATATACACTAACAATATGCAAAATATTCATTTTTAAGGTACTTACATGTATCTCCTTTCTCCATAATTGTAAAAACTACCGCGACTTGCTTGTTGTATTCTAGCATTTATAAGTATGATAATATTTGCTAAATCACCAACCATGTTTAAAGGAGTATACAAACAGAGAAAGTCTGAGAAGAACTTAGCTTTTCCATTGAGAATTGTCAATCTAACTTGTTTGTTTTGGCAACATTACATGGAACATTTCGTATCTAGTCAATATAATGCTAATTGTAGCCTAATGAGGTTGGCTCAAGTAGCTGACCTTTTGCCTTCAATTTTGATAAATATGAGTTCATTTCTGTATACAGATATGTTGCAGTTGGAAATGAACCATTTCTATCTCAGTTAAACGGTACGTTTCTGTCAACAACATTCCCGGCTCTTCAAAACATCCAGGCAGCCCTTATAAAAGCCGGTCTTGGTAATCGGGTGAAAGTCACTATTCCTCTCAATGCTGATGTATACCAGAGTTCAAGTGAAAAACCTTCAACAGGTGACTTTCGCCAAGACATTCGTGATCTCATGGTGAGCATTGTCAAGTTCTTGAGTGACAACGGAGGCGCATTTACTGTCAATATCTATCCCTTTATAAGTCTCTACAATGACCCCAACTTTCCTGCTGACTATGCTTTCTTTGACGGATACTCAAGCCCCATCGATGACAACGGGAAAATCTACAACAATGTGTTTGATGCAAATCACGATACCCTCCTTTCGGCATTGCAGAAAAATGGATTCCCGAATATGTCGATTATAATAGGGGAAATCGGATGGCCAACAGACGGAGACGATAATGCAAACTTGAAAGCTGCCCAAAGATTCAACCGAGGATTCATGACTCACATTTCAGGTGGAAAGGGGACTCCAATGAGACCTGGTCCAATAGATGCTTACCTGTTCAGTCTGATTGACGAGGATGCGAAAAGCATTCAGCCCGGCAACTTTGAGCGCCATTGGGGAATATATTACTTCGATGGTACACCTAAATACAATCTTTCGTTAGGTGCAAACAATGGAGGTGGTTTAGTACCAGCAAGTGGTGTTCGTTACCTGGCTCGTCAGTGGTGCGTGTTGTCACCCTCAGCTAGCCTTGATGATCCTCAGCTAGCTGATAGTGTAGGCTATGCATGTTCACATGCTGATTGCACCAGCCTCGGGCACAGGACATCATGCGCTGATCTAGATGCTCGTGGCAATGTTTCGTATGCATTCAACAGTTACTATCAGGAAAACGACCAGCAATCGAGTGCCTGCAAGTTTCCGAACCTTTCCATGATCACAAACACAGATCCGTCACCACCAGGTGGAACATGTAAATTCAAAATCATGATCCAAGCAAGTAGTCCTAGCAGCCATAAGAACAATGCATTTACAACTAAGCCTGTCAATGTGATGTTTCTGTTTATAGTTTCTTTGTTGTTGAGTGTTTTGTAGAACTTGTTGAGTTATATTTATGTATTCCTGTCACTTCTGTTGAAATTTTCCATCAGTGATTTTTGTTCACTACATTACTCTGTTTGGCACCATTCTTTTTAGGTCTACAATTTTATTCTATTGGCCTGGTTTTACAATTTTTGAAGTTTTTTGTTTTGGAATCAAGATGTGGATATTGTAGTACTCCCTCCGTTTCTATTTTCATGTCGTCCTTACTAAAAATAGATGTTCCTTAATATTTGTCTTTTAACAAATTAATACATAATAACACTATTCTTTCTACAGGGAAGCAACTACCTTGCAGTTCGTCTTAATAATAGTATTCGAAAATTAAAACTTAGCAAAACAGAAATGGAGAAGAAAGCAGAATATTTGATTTGAGCACACTGAATTCATAGTATATCTCCTTGAGGAACTTAATCCCCTCATAATATTCGAGGTAAAAATAAGCTTATGTTTTGATATAAGGATGTTTGATGACATAGTCATTATTTTGGCACGATTTTAATTTGGTACTTGGTGTTTATGTTTGATGATGTGTATCAGACTAATAGTATCAAGATGAATTTTAGCATCAAGTATCCCTGATACGTAACTCTTTGTAAAATAAGTTTAGAGCTACAAATTCAAATTTAGAATGTTTTGTACCACAATTGCTCGCGATGACAGAGTCTCATGTTGCTAACATTTATTCTAATATAATTTTGAGATTAAATTTATCAGCTATGTATTTAACTACAAGTATTAGTTAAAATCAAAATTATCTCAAAATTTTAAAATTATTTATCCCATATAAGAGATAAAATCTCATAATTATAATTGAGATAACCTTATTTTGAAGCAAACAATCTTAAGGGTTGTTTGGTTGGAAACAAGTTATTTCAAAATAAGTTATTTCATCATATTTACGAAATAACTTATCCCAACACTAAAGTATAAATGACGGAATAAATAATCACAAAATTACCTAGTATCTTTAACCAAACACATAATAAAATAATTTTACATTTTATTAATGAGATTATTATTCCTGATACACACCAAACGACTCAAAATCTAATTATACTACGAGCTAAACAATAAACTGAGTCAAGCCTCTTAACATAAATAATCCAATTGTTAAGCTAGTGAAGTGTGTGGGACCATGCTTGAACCATCCCAAAAACTCAAATAGTAGTAGTAAAATTTTAATCAATATAAGGTCAATATTGGTCAAATCATGATCAACACATGTCAACCTTGGTCAACTCTTTGTAAGTCATCATATTACTAATTTTAATGAAAAAATAGGGTTAATTACCCTTTTGAGAGTTTTTTATAAAATATTACGTCTTTATTTATTACCTTGATATATCATATTTAAAAAATATTTATCATCTATAATTATTATACTATTTGTACTAAAAGTAAATTATATATGCAATATATATGTACTATAAACATATATAAAAATGTGTGTTTACTTGTTTTGATAACAAAAATAAATTACACTTGTATTTAAAATGAACTATGCATGTAGTGTAGATGTATTTTACAATGTATAAAGATAAGTTTTATATGCAATACAAATGTATTAAAATGTGTTAGGTTTGTTTTGATAAAAAAATTGCACTGTATATTAAAAGTTATTATACATGTATTTGAAATTATATAGCTATAATTAGCAATATTTTCTAAAAAAGTATATTTAGGTAAGTTCCTCACATTAAAAGTGTTGGGTTTTTATAGAGGGAAGAACTACACAATTTGGACCTATTAGACAAAATATTTACTCAAATTGAACTTAACCTAATATATTTATCATGATTGGATCCACAACCCAAACTATTTACCTGACTCTCTCCTTATTCCATTCACTGAACCAATGTTGATACTATCAGAATATATATATACTCTGATGTATCTATATACACTGATGATATCTATATACTCTGATAGTAACAAACAATCCATTTTTTTAATTAAAACACGGCCTCTTCTGCCTTGATGCCATCAGAGTATCTATATACTCTAATTGTTTCAAGGAGTAACTGAGTAGTAATTTCACTGAAACGTTGCTTCTTCCTCTTTGATACCATTAGAATATATATATACTTATCAAAGTATATATAAAAAATCTTGATGGTATCAGTGAATTAGTAGTTAAAAACAAGAGGTATTAAAGTAAAAGAGTATTAGCTGGTAAATAATTTCTCTTTTTGGGTACACGTATTTTTTTTAAAGAACTTATTAACAAAAGCTGCTCATTTTCAACTTGTAGGATTAAAAAATTTTAAAAGTGGCCATGACTATATTTACCCTTAAATGGCCAATTAGTGAACTTCACCCTTTGGGGTTTGCTGTTAAAACTTCATTGGGCTTTTCATTCGGGTCGGGTCCTAATTTATTCGGGTCGAACGATTCTTTGAGACTCCACTTTCCTTCTTCGCTGTTTTCACACATATAACACAAAAAAGCATGGAGGCGTGGTTTTTTTTCTACTCTCTCTAGAGCATTTGTATTTGCAGAATTACTTCAAACCTAACGCGAACACTTTCTCTCTCTACATATCTGAAAAACCCTAGTTTATTTTTTTTTGAATTTTTTGGTGATTTTTATTTGAGTAGTAATATGGAGGAGGAGCCGCAACAACAATCATTGGCGGCGGAGGGGGAAGAGGAGCGGCAGACGGAGACGGCTCCAACGGAGGAACATGAGGAAGAAGGAGAAGAAGCGGGAGGTGGAGAGGAAGATGAAGAAGAGGCGGAAAGTGAAGGGTTGATCATTAAGGCACAAGCGTTAATGGAGAAGATAACTGCCTTGCCTGATAACCCTAACCCAAATACTATCCATGCTCTTTCTTCTATTTTTGAAACCCAAGAAGCTAGGTACAGTTTCTTTTTGTTGATAAAGTAATAATTTAGTGATACTGGGATTCTAACTCAAGAGTCCAGGTATATAATGGTTATATATATATGCCTTGAGCTGGAATTCACTTTCTTTTTCATTTGTTGATTTTTTTGGGGATTTCGAACTGTGTGGTCCAAGTGAAGTGAATTTTGTGTTATATTTGGGTTGAAGTATGATTTTGTGGGTTTTTGGGATTATATTTCCACACAAGAAAGGTGTGGCCTAGTGGTCAATCAAGTGGTTGAGAACCTGACGTCTCAGGTTTAAATTGCAGCTGAGACAAAAAAACACTAGGTGATTTTTCTCATTTGTTCTAGCCTTGATAAACAAAGTTACGTGATACCTATTGCTGGTGGGAGGTGGCACGTATCCGGGGAATTAGTGGAGGTGTGCAAAAACTGGTCCGGACACCACAGTCATCAGAAAAAAGAAAAAAAAAAAGAAAGTATTCTACTCTGCAATGTTTGTCTATGCATGTCTTTTGATGATTTAATTTTTAGCAAGCAGATAAGTGTGCTATTACTATGTGCATTTTGGAGTATTTCAGTCCTTAGATATATTATAGTAGGGTAGTTGAATTCTGTTAATATGTATGCTGGTCTCTCTCTCTCTTTTTTTTTTGTTTTGATGAACTTTTCCTAGTAAAAAATGTAGTCACATGTGGCTTATTGGTAGTGTTTGGGTGAGTGGGGGTGGATATGAATTATGGGTGTGCCTTTGCTAGTTTATCTTCTTTGTAGTTGTAATTAACTGTGGATACTGGTTCCATATAATTTTATTTAGTTTTAATGTTTCTGGTCCTGGTTGTGAAAAGATAAGGGTGTAGTGGGTTCTTGGTGCATCATGTCTTCTATATTGGCGTGAAATAGTACACTTACATCTTTGTGACACCATTGTGCTATTTGGATAAGGTCAATTATAAAATTCTGCCTCTCTCAGTACTTCCCCTCTATCCTCAACAGAGCCCTCCTTCCTCTGATTAGAAGACCAAATCTGTTTCCCAGAGAAGATTTTTTTTTCTCGCATTTTGTATATCCTGATGATGAATATTTTACTACAATTGTCCCTCCCATATTAGACTGCAGCTTTTGGATTCTGTTTCCATCACTTACCAGTTAATTGGTTGGGATTACCAGCCTGACCAAACTCCAAAGAATAAGATAGAAAGAAGAGTTCTTGCCTACAACTACATGCCTATCAGTAGCTATACTTGGAGTTGAGATAATTGCATAGGCATAGGGGAGCTGGACACATATATCAAAAGCCCAATGCCAAATTTGGGAAACCACTATCTGTGCATATATTTTCAGCCTAGATTGACAAATCTTTTGCTTCTTGGGTGGTGTCAGAAAGATGGTGCTTGCGTTGCGGGAGACTAAGTTGCTCGGACTCTTCACTTTTAGTGCCACACCCGTGTCGACACGACATGGGTGTGGGATCCGTGTCTGATTTGGTCAACTTATTTTGGGTACTTTGACCAAAATCAATGGGGAAAATCTGGGCAATTTTAATGATTTCTGTAATCAATACAGAAGCTAAGGTGAAATTGAAGGAAATGGAATACCTTTATATAGAAATTTATATGTCACTCCTTTTCCTTTGATCTCCTTTCGAGATTCTCCTCAAGTTCTCCACATAATATCTAATAATTTAGGTTTTATAACTCTATTTTTAGATATTTTAATTATTTTTAGGCGAATCCCCGCACCCGTATCCATACATGGATCCATATCCCTGAATCTTAAAAATTAGATCATGAAGGATCCTACCTTTAGATGCGCACCGGTATCGGGCACCTGCACCCGAGTCCGAACAACTTAGGCAGGAGATGCCTACCCTGGATGCAGGGGTGTGAGAACCAATCCAAGTGAACTCAGACATCAATTTGTTTGTAAACCAAACATTTTTAATTCAATCAATTTGTATATCCATATTAAAATGGAGCTTGACGAGATGAATGTACTTTTACTAGAAGTGTACCTCCATACCAAGGTGCAACTTTTGGATCTTTACCAAGTTATGAACTCAGACCTCATTTGTTCACCAGTTACAAAATTATGTTGTCAACATAGTAACCGTTTCAGGACTGGTTAGATTCTTACTTCCCATATGAATTATCTTCTTTGCCTCGAGTCCA